TTCAGTACTTCTATCGGAGTGTCATCCGAGAACACGCCAAATTTTGCCTGGTAATACCTCCTCAGAGAGAAACCTAGTATAGCAGATATCTGCCACGAGCTGGTACACGATGCGGTAAAGCACGTTGGGCGGACTGGCAGACAAGACGGCAGAAAAGGACTCGGCAGCCAGAGGCCAAAAAAGCCGCTGGTCCCAGGCGGGTGCATGGCGCGGAGCCCACTAAATACCGCCTTGGTACGAGCCCTTGGAGCAGTACCCGCGCCGGTACCAGCCATTGCCAGCCCGGCCCAGCAGGTTCCATGTTCCTGCCACCTGCCACTCCCACCACGCCGCCTAGCACATGGCCAGCGCCCAGTAGTGGCTACCACCTACCACCTAGCGCCGGCTGCTCTGCTACCGCTACCTTACCCACTGCCCACTGCCCACTGTCCTGCCCACTGTCCACTGCCCACCGTCCACTCGCGCTCGCTGTCCCACCGCCCATGCCTTGCCCATGCCACCCATGGCTGCCAGGCCATGCCCTAACGACGCCTGTGCCGCCCGTAGCCTTCATCATCTCCAGCCCGCGCTCCTGTTTCTGCTTTCTGTCTCTGCGCTCCCACACCTCAACCTCTTCTTTTCATCTTTCTTCTTCAACCCTTTTCCCTCCCCTTCCCTCCACCGAATTCCGAATCCGCCGATTCTCGACAAGCCTCGTCGCGAACTCGTCATCGTTCGTCGACGTCTGGATTCAGGTTCTTCGCGTGAGCTTCCTCCCTTTTGTTTGCCTCCAGCTCGCTGCTGTGCAGGTAACTTCTCTGTGTTCCCACGGCTTGTCTGCAGTGGCCGCTCCCCCAAACCGGTCACGTCTACATCCGTTCGACGTTCACATCTCTGGAGGGTTTTGAAAAGCTCCTTTCGGGACCTCTCTATCGCATAGAGGTTAGTAGCCGCTCTTCCACTTGCATCACCGGTTCTTTTCGCGCAGCAATCATGCCTCGCACACACCGCGTTATCTCGCCGCGACGCCAGCCGGACGAGACTCTGTTTTGGCTTGCTTTCTCGCTCCTCTGCCTACTATTACCATAAAATACCCAATACCATCGATCGGTCGCTGCTCGGCACTGCGTCAGACGAAGAATCAATGATTCTTTCGATTTGGCATCGTCAGCTTTCCAGTGGCGAAACTTGGTCGATGTGTAATGCCTTGCTCCTTTGGTCCGATTTCCTCTCTTACATGATTTTGTGTCGTCTGATCTGCAACGCTTTTCCTACCACCGGCCTGCGCGGCGATGTCATTTCCTTTCTGTCACTGTCTGACTATCTCGACTTGTGTACTAACATACACGTACAGAAAAGCTTTTCTCCATCCATCCGCCTTTGCATCTTTTTTCTCCCTCTCTTCCTCCGTCTCGCTTCTCGCTTGCGTTTGATCACGACGACGTTTCGACTCGACGTTGAGCCAGCTTCCTGCACCTTGGACGGCCATTTACTTTGACCGACCCTTCCTTTGCGATATCCTTCCGTCACGATTTCTTTCCCCCGTTTTCAAATCACGCTCTTCCAGCTTTTTTCATCGTCGTATCTCACGGCCAAACGACATCCAACGTACATGGCTTTTGCGTCTTAGTAGAGCCACATCGACATCACCTTTTCGCGCGCCGCCTCATCGTCCTTCATTTTCTTGTCCCGAGACTCTTTCAAAAGACAGCCGTGCCCAGTCGCGAGCTGTTTTCGTCTCTGACAAGAAATCCTCACCCGACAAAGATCAGCTCGATCTTCGTCGGACCTCTCCCACCACCGTCATCATGCCCGGAGGCGTCTGTGCCGTCCTCGATTACGAGGTCGACATGATGGCTGAGTATGTCGCCGAGATGGCAACCCGTGTCGTCACTCCGGAGGCCAGCGTCACTTCGCCGTTCCGCAAGTTCGTGTCGCAGATCCTCACATCCACGAGACTGCCTAGTACGACCATTCTCCTCGGGATGAACTACCTCGCCAAGAGGATCAACTCGATGAAGAGCCAAGGCCCGTACAAGGCCTCCGAGGGTCAAGTCTGGCGATTCCTCACCGTTTCGCTTCTCCTCGGCAGCAAGTTCTTGGACGACAACACCTTTCAGAACCGATCATGGTCTGAGGTCAGCGGTATTCCCGTTTCGGAGCTCAACACCCTGGAGTATGACTGGCTTCAAGCGATGAACTGGCGGCTCTACGTCAACCTTGATCACAGCAAGGACTACCAGGCCTGGCTTGACAACTGGCGTGAGTGGCAGCAGATGAAGAAGCGACGTGCCACCCAGGCAAGCCGGGAGCGTCTGGCTGCTCTGGTTCCCGCCATCGACACTGACCTGGCGAGGTACAACAGCAACCGCTGCTCGCCTCACTTCCGCTACATCCAGGCTCAGATCGCAGAGTTCGAGCGCTACCAGGCCATGAAGACCCAGCAGCACACCTACCGCTCTCGCGAGAATACGTGGGCCAACAACCCATGGAACGCGCCTCTTACTCCTCCGGATTCTGGCTACGGCACTCCCGAGTACGCCGTGTCGGCTGCCTCCAGCAATGCTCGCTACAATGAGTGGTTCGCTCAGGCCGCTGCTCAGTACAGCAGCCGGTACCCCCAGCCTCCGGCTCACAATACGTTCTACCCCAACCGCCAGACGCCGTACTCTTCTCACTACCCCTACAACCACCACAGCGGGTGGGAGCACGGCGTTGCTGAATGCAGCTGCTCGGGTTGTGTCGAGCCCATGAAACAGACACCTTACTTCATGTCCCATGGATACGGTCAGCCTGTCATGGGTTAATGTTTGCAACGATTTTCCTTTCTTCCTCGTTCAACTGGGCTTCAATAGAAGCCCCCCTTTTCTTTCTCTGTTCGGTCTCGGAAAAAAACGGTGCGGATTTCGAGTTTCTTATGGCTACGAGTTTTCGCCATCTTCTCTGTTCAAGAAGACGCGTGTTTTTCAGATACCCCCGGCACGAAAAAAAGTCCTACACGCGCATTCAGTTTCAGCACGTCTTTCTTCAGCCATTTCTACGATGCCATCATGACGCGACCACCATCGATACCAGCGTGCCCTGTGGGTTTCCTCCATTTACATGGCACAGGCACTGTGGTCACTGGTGGCTTTCATTATACACGGCTTCTTTGTTTTTTTCAATTTTTTACGGTACATGTTTATAATGGTTTGGTACGGCGCAGGGTTGACACCTTACATATCATTACACAATGTTCCTCGGTACGACGACGAGTCTGCTGCCTCCGCCACGGACAGCGAACCCTGCTGCTTCTCTCTCTCGGTCATCGACAGCGGGCCCAAATGGGTGGAGGTCGCATCTCGTTCACAGTTTCAACCCCGGAGGCGAACATTATCCACTCTTTTAGCACATCTTTCTCTCTTTTTCCTCCTTGATACCATGCTCGATGGGATCTCTTGCGTTTGCGGGCGCTGCACATATAGACCTGGCATTGGTACCCTTCATTGGTACCTCGATAGATCTGGAAATCAGTCTTAGCACTGCCGACAGCCGGGGGCTCCTCACCTCCGAAAGCAACCGCAGTTTTGGGCAGAAGCTTGAAACCAAAAAACATACAAAAACAAAGGTCGGAACCATGTCGTCAAAGTGACTTGGCTGGCTACGCCCTGTGCTTGCGGATTGGTTGGAATACCAAATTCTCCGCGCTGGCTTCAGCGACATGGGTTCGCACGACGCAACAAAAGCAACAAAAGTTTGGGGACAGTACATATGACACTATACTTGTTTGATTGTGGTGGGATCCGGTGTCTATGAAAAATGGTTATTTCTACAAGGGCGCTTTTCATGCATTGTCTTCAGCGGGTAAAACGGAAGATTGGACCGGCTATACTTTTTTATTCTTCCTTCTGCGGCGCATTTCATCATACCGATTTCTCTTCTTCAACCGTTCCGCGGCCATACCTCCCAATCGTTGTCAGTCGGCTTCGCGCCGAGGTTGGTCGAGCATCATGTATGCATTCTCGGACGTTTTCTTCTTTTATGAGATGTTTAAGACGCCTTTTTCCAATGGATTGGTTTGGTAGAGAAGGAAGAACTGGTTTCGGTGGCGAGGGGATTTTTTTTGTTCGATTAATGAGTTTTCCTTTCTTTCAGTCGCACGAATGCGGACAAATTCTGTATCCTTATGATCGATTCCATATCCCTATTGTGGAATAATCTTCTTGATTGGTGGGTGGGTGGGCAGATGAGCGAGAGAGCGACGGGTGTGATCAGGATGTGTGATCGGATCAGTTGGTCTCGGTGGGCGAAGACGGTTTGTCGTCTGTGGGGGACGATGGTTGGGGGTTTTCATCATTCGAGGCTCTGTCATGAGATGGGCAGCAATCTGAAGGTCTATGAGAAGGCTTCAGCCCTGAGGGTGGCGCCGCCTCTGGCGATTCCGATGGCATCCCTATCGTGGCATTATAGTACAATTAAACTGATGAGCAGCCCTGGCTGACCTTCACTTGTATATTTAATGAGACTGCCTTTTCTCATAATACTCTTTGTGTGCGTGACTGCCACTTAAACTCTTGTCGTGAGCCAAGGAGGCGATTCGGCTGATTTTCGGAACTTGTGATCAGTGGTCTGTCTTTCAACTCTCTTCAGCTTCCAACTCGGTCCCTTGTTAGCTTGACTTTGAGCTTTCTATGCATCTACTCCCACTGCCCAATTGGCTCCATGCACGAGATTCATATAACACATTAATCGCCTCCCTTGTGATCCATCGTCTTTCGCTGAGACGCTTCCAATTCCGATAGTTCTGCGCGTCGCGTCGCATCTCATCGTGTGAGCCGCTCGTTCAGCAAGCCGAGTCTACTCCAATTGCACAAGTTTCATATTCAACGAAAGCTACCTACCTTACTACCTTATATAACACGACAAGTCACTTTATAAAACCGAGCCCCGAATCTCTTGCGCAGAAAGCTCACTTACACCGAACCCAAATCTCCCGCAACTTCTCAATTTGAAAGTCTGTGTGAGGAGGGGCGGTTATCATCATGTCTGGCCGATTCGTTTCCGGCGGGACCATTAGCGCGGACAACAACGACTCAAAAGCCACGCCCGCTGCTGCTGCTGCTGCTCCCAATGCTGCCGCTGCCTCTGTAGAAAGAGAGCCGCTGGCGAAGAAGAGCGTGGAGTGGGAGGCGGTGCAGCGGGAGCTCGAGGAGGAGAGGAGGAAGAGGGAGCGGGCTCGGGCGGAGCTGGCGGGGGAGGGTGGGCAGCAGCAGAGCTTGTATGATGTCTTGCAGGCGAATAAAGGTTCGTTTTTCTTTTCTTCTTTTCTCCCTCCTTGTTGTTTATCTGCTTTTTTCCCAGAGATGGGGATCGTTGGGGGTGATGTGCTAACTGCATGGGTTTTGTTTGTGAGAAAAATGTAGCGGCGAAACAGGCGGCGTTTGAAGAACAGAACAAGCTCAAGAACCAGTTCCGTGCGCTGGATGACGATGAGATTGAGTTTCTGGATGAAGTGAGGGCCAAGGAAAAGGCGGAGGAGGAGCGGAAGAGGAGAGAGGTGGAAGAGGGGCTGAAGGCGTTTCGAGAGAGGCAGAAGAGTACTAGTAGTGGTGGTGGCGGCGGCGATGGGGAGGATGGTGGTGGAGGAGGGAAGGAGGAGGAGGAGGAGTGGGTTGTTGGGGGGAGGAAGAGGAAGAGGCATGAGAGGGAGGTTTTGGGGGTGAAGAAGAAGGTTGTTGTCGGTGGTGGTGATGAGAAGGATGGGGTGAAGGCTGGTGGTGATGTGAGGAGGAGTGTTGTGAAGAAGGACGAGGAGAAGAAGAATAGTGAACGTGATGAGAAGAAAGCGGAGGCTCCAAAGCAAGAGAAGAAGCCGAGCTTGGGGCTCGTAAGTTACGATTCGGAGAGTGACGAAGAAGAGGACTGACATATGAATGAGAGAGCTGGATGATGAGAGTGGACGCGGCTCGAGTTGTAAGAGGAGACTGCAAGTTTGTGGTATTAATACAGCTGCAAAGCTTGAATAACGTGAATGTACGCCCTCTATCATGACCCATTTCTTCATCCATCCTTTTTTTCGTGGGGCTTCCCTGTTCAAGCTTGATATTCAATCCATATACACTTCACTCATACATAGTCGTACAGCACATGCTTGTTGATACAAAAAAAATCACAAGATTCCACAACCCCCATCATGCCTCAATCCCACTCTTCAACCTTTCTTTTTAACACGTCAATTTTTCAGTCATCATCCAAGTTCCCCACATTAGGACCCTTGGGCTTGCTCGCAAACGAGCTGGCACCCCAGTGGTACAAACTCCTCAAGTTGCGCTTCATCCATCCCTCAATCTCCGCCTCCGGGACGACAATCTCCCTCGCGCGCGCCTCGTCCTCGGGCCGGATCTCGAAGCGCCGCATCCTCTCGGCGATGCGCGAGTCGACCACCACGGGCGAGGCCCAAATCCGCTCCTTGGGCGGCTCGGCGGCCTTGTTGGCCTTTTCCGCGTCTTCGGCGGGTTCGGGCTCGTCCTCCTTCCAGACGAACTTGGGCCAGTCGCTTTCCTCCTGCTTCAGAACGAGCTGCTGCTCGTACTGGCCGTCGACCTCGCGCCATTCGCGGGCCGCGGCGAAGCAGACGGCGGCGACCTCGCGGCCGATGTCGTCTGCCAGGTGGCGGCGTGTCAGGAAGCGGCCCAGACGGACGAATGTGTGACGGAAGCCGAGACGGTGAGGGAAGGGCACAGGGGCCGAGGGCGAGAACTCGGCGGGAATGCTGGCTGGCAGCGTAGCGGACGGGTAGTCGTCGGGGGAGTTGTGTGGCCGAGGCTGTGGCGGTCGCTTGGGCGCTTCGTCCTTCTTCTCTTCTTCAGGCTTCTTCTTCTCCTCGGGCTTTATCTCGCTGCCGCCTCCTTCGGTCGATGTGCTTTCGGGTTCGGGCTTCTCTTGAGGCGTTTCGATGACTGGCAAAGGTGGTGGATCGAGAGGGCCTAGCCATCCCTCGTGCAGGCCCCGGACGTACTCTTTCCACGTATGTCGACCGATGACGATGTCGCCCTTGATGCCTTCGTATTCTGGCAGCCCAATCTTCTTCCTCTGCTGTTCTATGATGGCGTCGTCTGTCTGAGGCAGCTCTTCGCCGGGCCGCTCATGGGCCTTCCTAGATCTCCTAATCTTCTCGGCCACGGCCGCTCGCACGTCGCCCTGCTGCCGGCCCTGGACGAACTCCCAGTCGAGGCCCGAGGCCGCCAGGATCGGCTTGACGTACTCGATGAAGTGATCCTGGGCGGTGCGCAGACCGTCTCCGGGAGGAGCCTCTAGATAGACGGTGAGCTTGCGGGGCAGCTGGCTCGCGTTGGGGAGCGGCTCTTTGGCGAGCGGCGCAACGGCCCGGCGCCACTTGGCCGTCGCGCGGTTCTTCTCGCGCTTGTCGTAGATGATGGCGGCGGCGAAGGAGGAGGACAGGGTCCAGAAGATGAGCCAGTTGCGGGAGGGGAGCTTGCGAGGGAGCGCCGGGAGGCCCATCATCTTGAAGACGGGGTTGCGCGGGCGAGGAGGCGTTGGGGTGGTGTTGGCGGAGCCCGAGGCCGGCGGGGTGGGAGGAGGATTGGGGTCGGCCATGGTGATGCGGCCTTTGGTGGTGCGTCTCAATTAGACAAGAATATTGAATTGGCGAAGAGAGACGATTACTTCGGAGGTGTTATGTTAGTCTTTGCATGGCTTGTCTGTTGGATGGGCGCGAGCTATCAGGTATCATGTCCTGCAAGCTCTAATGGGTTGATGCTGTCATGAGGTTGGAGAAAAATCGGATGCGATAAGGATGCGGGACGCGATAAGGGTGGCCCTCCATGCCGCCGACACGATGATGGCCAGCCTTGGCTATGGACCTTTTCACGGTAAACGAAGAAGCGCTGGACACAAACTCACATTGTGCATTCAAGGCAAACATTGGATCACTTCGCCTCTGCAGCACAAGTTGTTGACTTGATGGATGCTGTTCTTGTCTTGAGCAGGGGTCTGCCTTTGCTCACATGCTATCCCTGTGATTGCTAGGCCAGAGCATGATGGGACTGAAAGCACCTGGATCAAGAGTGGTGCCTGGCAAGTGTCAAACGAAATGAACCAGATATCATTTGTTCATTAAACAGCAATAGCAAGCTGATGTAAAGAAGATATGTGATGTAATACCTTTCGAAATCAAATTGCAATACTATTCCTGCTTCTGGCTGGCCGGCCAGCTCCGGCTAAGTACTAAGTAATACTATTCGAACGCGGGTTTGTAGCAGTAAGGCGACCCCTTGAGCAGAGCAGAAAACGGTCTGGGAGCATTACGCGTATTGTACTTACTTTACACTTACGTTTAGTCTCATACAATGCATCGCGGCACTCGGCCGGTAGCACAGGGCCTTGATGTCTTGGGAATTCCGTTCCTGTAGGGTTTTCCATCTCTCACAAGCACATGGCTGGTTACACATGCTGGCAGCGTTGCAGGTCAACCTGAGATCTGGTCAACTGCTAGCGAAGCAGGCTATACTACTAGGACCTGGGAGACACGCCAGGGATCCAAGGGGATAAGGCTGGTTTGTGCTCCTGGTAATACTAGTTGGGTAGGCTTGGATCGGCTGGAGGGCTAATATATTCCGTACAAGACGGGATTCAAGGCTGGACCCCTGAAGGGAAACGGCAAAGGGCTAGTAGAGAACGTGAAGTGCTGGGACAGAGGTGGCGAAACGGATAAAGAGAGACAAGTCCAGGAAACGTAAAAAAAAAGAAAGGAAACATGGAACAAGGCCAAGTCACATTTGCAATTCACAATTCACGAGCGAATGGCGGCAGAGGCAGCATGAAGTCGGGAATTGCATGTGTTACAGTTGCGCAGGCAGTTTATGCGGGCGGTCACCTTGCCGTGATTCAGTGGCCGCAAGCCTTGTTCACGCCCATCGGTCCCTTTCCGACTGGAACAAAGCAATTGTATGCCATGCAGCAAAGACAGCGCCTTCTCCTTCGCTTTGTTGACTCGATACCAGCAAGCAAAGTGCCGGCAGACCTCAACTGGAAAAGGTATCATGAGGTCCCTCGAGCCAAGGTAGTTCCATGTAATTAAGGTAGCGGCCAAATTTATCAGCGGCCACCGAGCAGGTGTGCCCACCTGCAGCAGCCCCTGGGACTTGCAAGGTACTTGGAGCGGCTGTTGTCTGCGGCGCAACTCTACGCAGCTGCACCGCGTCGAACAAGTACCGCGCTAGTACCGCCATGCACCACCCCGCCCCGTTGTCTTGGTTGACCGCCCCCCCCATTTCCCCTAGTAGACCCTCAAGCCCAAAACCCCATTTGATCCATCGTCAAAAGGAGCTTGTGCTTGTTGTTTTCGAGCTGCAAGACTGCACGGCACGGCACAGCAGCACCCCAATCAGCGCGCCAGACCCTTGCCTTCTGCTCCCCCGAAAACTGGGCCAGCCCGCCTCTTCGCCGCGAATTGGCCACTCAGGCAGCGGCCTCTGCAGCGTCTCCAGCGCGCCTCTCCCCCTTTCCGCCGACCCCTCAGGCCAGTCCGTCAGGCTCGCATACAGCTGCCCAGCCCTTGATCCTGACGACGTGGGATTTGATCTGGTTTGGTTTGATTTGATTTGATTGCCTTATCGCCGGATATGGATTCCAGTCGTCTGCATCTCAACTTCGACAACTCACGGCCGGCCGCCAACGATCGAGCCTTTCCCACGACGCCCTCGACCTTCCCCCAGCCCGTCTTCTCGGGCCCTCAGTCTGGCAGCATGCAGTCACAGCAGCAGCAGCAGCCCTACGGCGCCGGCTACCCTCCCCAGGGCTACTTTGCGCAGAACCAGTATGCTCAGCAGCAGTATCCTGGCCAGGCCGTCACCAGCGACTATCCCAACGCCGCCTACCCCCCGCAGGCTGGCACCAACGACCCAAACACGGGCCTCGCGCACCAGTTCTCCCACCAGAACCTAGGCGGCGGTGCCGCGAGGGGAGGTCAATACGCTGCGCGAGGCCCGTCGTCTGGACGTCCGCGCACTGCTGGCGGCTCGGGGCAGCAGGCCAGCTACGGCAACTACGCGCCTCCTATGCCGTCCCAGGGCGCCGTTTCGTCGCCCGAGTTCCAGCCCATCCCAGAGAGGAACCCTGATAAATACGGCACCAATGCCAACAGCAACCAGAAGAAGTGCTCTCAGCTGGCCGCAGACTTCTTCAAGGACAGCGTGAAGCGAGCCCGCGAGCGCAATCAAAGGTACGGATGACACTCGTGTGTATACAGCACGCACCCTTAAAGTTTTCCTTGAAACCCAGAATTACCCATCTTGACAACTACTCCATCAATGATCCATTCGCTGACGCGTTGCCAACACGACAACAGACAGAATGAGCTGGAACAGAAGCTGCAGGACCCCGGCCAGAGCGCAACTAGGAGGGAGCAGCTGTGGTCGACCGCTGGCCGGAAAGAAGGCCAATACCTGCGCTTCTTGCGTACCAAGGACAAGCCCGAAAACTACAACACCGTCAAGATCATCGGAAAGGGTGCCTTTGGTGAGGTCAAGCTGGTGCAGAAGAAGGGCGACGGCAAGGTGTACGCCATGAAGTCTCTGATCAAGACTGAAATGTTCAAGAAGGACCAGCTGGCCCACGTCCGCTCAGAACGTGATATCCTGGCCGAGTCCGACAGCCCCTGGGTCGTCAAGCTCTACACTACCTTCCAGGACGCATACTTCCTCTACATGCTCATGGAGTTTTTGCCGGGTGGAGACTTGATGACCATGCTCATCAAATACGAAATCTTCTCGGAGGATATCACGCGGTTCTACATTGCTGAGATTGTCTTAGCCATTGAGGCTGTCCACAAACTTGGCTTTATTCACCGGTAGGTTTCCGATTACAGCCTCAAAGCCGCTCGTCCGACTGACTTTTGCAAACAGCGATATCAAGCCTGACAACATCCTGCTGGACCGTGGCGGCCACGTCAAGCTGACCGACTTTGGTCTCTCCACGGGCTTCCACCGTCTGCACGACAACAACTACTACCAGCAGCTGCTGCAGGGCCGCTCAAACCGTCCGCGTGACCGGACCTCCGTTGCCATTGATCAGATTAACCTCACAGTCAGCAACCGATCTCAGATTAACGACTGGAGACGATCTCGACGGCTGATGGCTTACTCCACCGTCGGTACACCAGACTACATTGCACCCGAAATCTTCACAGGCCACGGCTACACCTTTGACTGCGATTGGTGGTCGCTGGGTACCATCATGTTTGAGTGCTTGGTGGGCTGGCCGCCGTTCTGTGCCGAAGACAGCCACGACACCTACCGCAAGATTGTCAACTGGAGACAAACCTTGTATTTCCCTGATGACATTACGCTGGGTGCAGAGGCAGAGAACTTGATTCGAAGGTGAGTTTGGCTTTTCTTTCCCTTTTTGCTTCCTGAAAGCAATGAGTCGCTAACTCCCGTGACAGCATGGTCTGCAATACCGAGAACCGACTTGGACGCGGTGGTGCTCATGAGATCAAGAGCCACGCATTCTTCCGGGGCGTCGACTTTGACAGCCTGCGCCGCATCCGCGCTCCCTTCGAGCCCCGGTTGACGTCCAACATTGACACGACCTACTTCCCGACCGACGAAATTGACCAGACGGACAACGCGACTCTGCTCAAGGCCCAGGCCATCCAGAACCGCAACGGCCAGGCTCCCGAGGAGTCGCCCGAGATGAGCCTGCCCTTCATTGGCTACACTTTCAAGCGGTTCGATAACAACTTCCGATAAAAAGTTTTCTCTGTTCCGGGAGATGAAGGCAGGGCATCAATCAATGCACTAGAGGTTTTGAATTCGAAGCGAATTAGAGCTGCGACTAGAGTGGCATGAGACGATGACGAGTTTGCGAGGGGGTCCATGCTTAATCGGCTGACCAAAACACGAAGGGAGCAATCTGCATCAAGAGCCAAAGTTGATACAATCAAGACGTCGTCGTTTATTGAAATGCGTTTTATTATGTTTGGCATTGGGGGAGGGAGGAAAAAAGAACTGTGCTGACATCGCGTCCTCTCTTCATATTGCTGAAAGATACTATATCTTTTCTTTTTCTTCCTCACATGCATGGAATTAGTTTCGAGAGCTATGGATATATCAGATGCGAAAGAAGCCTTCTTTGGCATTATAGTAGTATATGATTTGAGCATCAAGAAAGAGACTTGTTCTTCCCAAACTTCCCATTAATCGGTATATACATGTGTGATGGTATTCTAAATCCGATGTTCCTAGCCTTGTTGCGCCAATGCCAAATTGTCCCAATTTACACTATTTCTGTGTGTGTTCTATCATCTCATTCTGAGGCTGGGTTTGCCTTTGGAGATGACAGCTATATAGTTGCAAGTCAGTCAACATGAGCGCTGCTTCTCAGACGGACAGCCGCTTACCCCATGTGTTGTGTGATGTGATTGTCTGCCAAATTTGTTTATTTTCATCGCGTGCGCCGCGATTGCTGATGAGCCCGCCCTGATTGTCGAATGGGGGATATTGAGAACCCTCCTTTTATACCCATCAAAGGAAGGTGTCTCTCGAATCGCATGCTTGCGTATGCCTTCACCGTCTTTCTCTGCCCTTGACAAAAGAGAATCATCTCCTCGCCGTCAAGCCAGGCGCGGCATTGAACCGCTCCTCCCGCTCCGTCATAAACATGACCTGGATCCAATACTCCTTGGAATCCGGGTCCCAGAAGCTAAACTGCTTATCCTCGCGCTTATCCAGCTCGCGGGCGGGGATCTTGAAGCCGACGCTCTCGTAGGGCTCGGCGGCGACGACGAGGTACTGGAAATTCTTGTCCGGCTCCTCGGCGCGCTGCGTAAAGGCGTTCATGACCTGCCACTTGGGCGCGAGGTCGGGCGTGGCGTCCGGGTACTGCAGCTGGAAGAGCAGGCCCTGCTGGCGCGTGACGGGGTCGCGGATCTTTGTGATCTTGTAGCCGGGGCGGCCGATCTTGACGACGTTGCGGCGGGCGACGAGGCCGGCGGCGACGCTGGCGGGCAGGCCCGTGGCCGGGTCAATGTTCTGCTTGCCCTCGCGCTGCTCGCGGGCGGCGCGGCGGGCGAGGTTGGTCTGGTGTTTCTTGCCCTGGGTGTGGGCGAGGTAGGAGCCGTCGTTTTGGTGGACGGTGAGGCAGAGGCGGCACTCGAAGGAGCCGACGTGGTTCTTGAAGAAGTAGGGGTCCTTGTCGAGGTCGATGGTCTCGAGGGCGAGCTTGCGGAGGCGCTCGCGGGAGGCAACGCCGCCGCCGCCGAATTTGGAGCCCGCGCGGTTTTGGTAGTCCATTGCGATGGGGGGAATCTGTTGGTTGTGGTTGTTGTTGTGATGAATTTGTGGGAGGTTGTAGAGGGTTGGAGAGGCGTGTGGGATGGTTGGTAGAAGGACGAGGAAGTGAGATGGCGAAAAGATACAAGGATGGACGAGGCTGAAGGGTGCATTGGATCACTTGGTGAGGCTGACCAATCAGCGTGTACTTGCGGTCATTGCTACTGTAGGTAGGTGGTACCTTAAGTTTCCACCAGGCTTCCGTCATCTTAACTTGAACTTGGAATTCACATCGTCAAAGAAGATGAGCAATCCTTCATGAGTTCCAACTGACCAACTTCGTCTCAAAGCACCAAAACGTCTCTGTACTTTGCCACAAATGCCTGCACAGCGTCCACGAACCTGTCCAGCTCCGACTGCGGCGTCTCCAAAACCAGCGCAATGAAGCCTCGCCGCGTGACCCAGAAACCCTGCTCCAGCATCTCGAACCAAAAGAGATCTTTAAGCAGTTGATTCTCTTCAATATCATCTGCGCTCGCCAAAACCTTTACCTCGACATCTCCTTCAACAAAGTGGGAGCACATGACGGAACCGAGTCCCGTCCAGGCGATCCTTGTCCCCTTGACAGCCTCCTGAAGCCTGGACAGGAACTGCGATCCCCTCTCGGTAAACTTGTCCGCCGCTTCGGGGGTGTAGATGTGCTTCAGGCCCGCGTAGCCGGCGTGCGTCACGAGCGTGTTGTTGTTGAAGGTGCCCGAGTGCGAGATGGACGTGGACAGTCTCGGGTCAAAGGCGGCCATGATGTCGGCCCTTCCGCCAAGGGCGCCGAAAGCGAGGCCGCCGCCGAGATACTTGCCAAAGGTCTTGAGATCCGGCTTGAGGCCGCGGAGGCCTGCGAAGCCGGCGCCTGAGATTCTGGAAGTCATGACCTCGTCGAGGATGAAGACGACGCCGGCCTTTTAACATGTGATTGTGTGAGACCGAGCTGTGCAATAGTCATTGTATATTATCGTGGCTGGATTGTTCTGCTCACTTTTGCAGCTGCGTTTTGGATGCCAGTCAGGAACTCCTCGGTTGAGACGATGCAACCGCCGTTTCCTTGCATGCCCTCGACCAAGACGGCGGCCACGCCCTCGCCCTCAACGGCCCTTGTGGCAGCGTCAAGATCGTTATACTTGACGACAATCCAGTCATTAGGGTCGACGTTGTTCGGCGCCGGCTTCCCTTCTTTGAAGCCCAAGACTCCCCCATGGTAGCCTCTGTCGAACACCACCACCTTTATTTTGTTGGTGAAGAGCCTGGCAGCGGCCAAGGCGTGGAGATTGGCCTCGGTGCCCGAGTTGGTGAAGCGAACTCGCTCCAGCCCGAAGCGCTCGCACAGCTCCTGGGCGAAGAGTTGCTCCTGGGCCGTCGTTGCCCCGACGTTCATGCCCACGTTCTGGAGGACATTGTTGATGGCCTCGAGGATGACGGGGTTGGAGTGGCCGTAGAGCGCTGCTGTGAATTCGCCGGTGAAGTCTGCGTAGCTGCAAGCGAGCAAGACCAACAAGTTCGATATACGTGTCAGCATACAAAAGTACATACAACGTCGAGAAGAACATGTGGTATAACCATGTTGAGTCCAAAAACGTACGTTTTATTGTCCTCGGAAGTGACTTGATAGCCCCTGGCAGACTTCATGCAGATGGGAAAGGGATCCGTGTACAGCACCGTCCGTGTATTGCCGCCGGGGAGGGACTTGGTGGCGTGCTCGTGGATGGCCTGGGACCTGGCGTTGCGGGCTACGTAGAGCGCCTTGGCCGCGGAGTGGGCAGTGGAGATGCTGCGAGACAAGGCTTCTGTCATTGTAAGTCTTTGTTATTGTGGGAGAGGATGTTATTGTGGGAGAGGATAAGAAAAGATGAGATCTGTCGTGGAGGTTTGTGTAAAGCCATGCGGCATGGATGAGAGGGCGGGGGGACGATGATCAACACCACGCGGACTTGTACGAGACGGTGCTACGTGATATATACTGCTACTGCTGTACTCCTGCGGCTTTCAGCTTCGATGGGGGTACGATTTACCATTATATATTGGTGTCAAAATCGTCGGGCATATCATCCATACATCGGACATGACATCAAAACCGGCCATGTATCAATAATGCACGGCCTCAAAGCTGTAATAGATTGGACATGGTGGATGGGCTAGTTGAGTCGACATCACACATCACACCGACATCGGAAGCAGCTTGCTGTTATGCAGCGAAGTGTCAAAGTCGAGGAAACAGAAAAGGGAAACCGACGACGAATATCTGCCTAGTCTAATTGGGCACTCGGAACCGCTGGGCTCGTTTACTAAGGACTTGGAGATGAACTCGTGGTACCGAATCGCTCTTTGTCTGCTGTTACCTCAACGACTAAGGGACACGTCTTGACACATTATTGCGTAAGACAACATCCCCTATGGCAGGAGATGCATGTTTCAAAGTTGCCAGTTTCGTACCTCGACCAATTGCTTCTGATTTACCTACTCTTGTAAACCGGTTTCTTTGTCCCAGGTATTACCTAGTAGTCTAGTACCTGGCAGTAGTATTCATGCGATATCCGCTGAGTCGCTCTATCGCAGAAAGACATGTGGGGCTGATAGGAAGGCGGTGTGCAGGCACGCCGGCAGAATCGATATCCCACTTAATTTTTTTTTCTTAGCACGGCAACACCAGCTGGAGGAGCGCCGCCGTCCATCAAAGACAAACCATCGCTGTCATTTTCATTGAATATCGACAGCAACAGTTCACAATGGCAGGCAGTATCAACAAGCCAAAGAGTATGTCCAATCCCAATCGCTCTCGGTCCCAGGAATGGCTCCAAGTATAGCCACCAATCCTTCGAACGTCGTGCTAACCAGAACCCCCCTTGCGCAGAACCAAAGTCCAAGCGGACGACAACCCGCCTCCGCAACAAGATCCAAAAGGCCTCGGCCGCCAAGCAGCGAAAAGACCGCAAGCTGGCCAAGAAGAACCCGGAATGGCGCTCCAAGCTGAAGAAGGACCCGGGCATCCCCAACCTGTTCCCCTACAAGGAGCGGGTGCTGGAGGAGATTGAGCAGAAGCGCGCCAAGAAGGCCGAGGAGGCCCAGCGGAGGAGGGAAATGGCAAAGGCCGCCAAGACGGGCGGCGCCGAGGCCAAGGAGGAGAACGAGGACGCCATGGACAACGACGAGGACGACGCCATGGACCAGATGGACGAGGACGGCGACATGGACGAGGACATTGACGAGTCGAACCCCATGGCGGCCCTCATTGCCAGCGCCCGCGCCGCGGCGGCAAAGTACGACAAGTCTCTTGCCGCCAGCGACGACGACATGGAGGACGACGAGGACGAGGACAGCGACAGCGACGCCTCGGATGACGGCGGCCGGGTTTCCGCCGGCCAGGCGTCGTCGCGCAAGACGTTCGACAAGGTCTTCAAGCAGGTCGTCGACGAGGCCGACGTGGTGCTGTACGTGCTGGACGCGCGCGACCCCGAGGGCACCCGCTCGCGCGAGGTCGAGCGCAGCGTCATGGCGGCGGCCTCGGGCGGCAAGCGCCTCATCCTGATCCTCAACAAGGTCGACCTGGTCCCGCCCAAGGTGCTGCGCGACTGGCTCGTCTACCTGCGCCGGTACTTCCCGACGCTGCCGGTGCGGGCGTCGCACGCCGCGGCCAACGCGCACGTCTTCAGCCACCGCGACCTGACGGTGCAGAGCACCTCGGCCGCGCTCTTCAAGGCGCTCAAGAGCTACGCCGCCAGCCGCAACCTCAAGCGCGCCGTCTCCGTCGGCGTCATCGGCTACCCCAACGTCGGCAAGAGCTCCGTCATCAACGCCCTGCTCAGCCGCATGGCGGGCAAGGGCGGCAGCGCCTCCAAGGCCTGCCCGGCGGGCGCCGAGGCCGGCGTCACGACGAGCATCCGCAAGGTCAAGATCGACAGCAAGCTGACGCTGCTCGACTCCCCCGGCGTCGTCTTCCCCTCCAGCTCGTCCCTCCAGTCCGGCGGCCTCGTCGCCATCAAGAACGCCACCGAGGCCCACGCCCACCTCGTCCTCCTCAACGCCGTGCCCCCCAAGCAGATTGACGACCCCGTCCCCGCCGTCAGCCTCCTCCTGCGCCGCCTCTCCGCCACCCCCGACCTGCTGCAGAAGCTCACCGACGTCTACGACATCCCCGCCCTGCTGCCCAGCGCCGCCGACGGCGACATCACCACCGACTTCCTCGTCCAGGTCGCCCGCAAGCGCGGCAGGCTCGGCCGCGGCGGCGTCCCCAACATCGCCGCCGCCGCCATGACCGTCGTCACCGACTGGCGCGACGGCCGCATCCAGGGCTGGGTCGAGGCCCCCGTCCTGCCCGTCGACGGCACCGCCGCCGCCGCTGCTGGTAACAAGCCGGCCGCCATCAAGAACGCCGGCGAGGAGGATGTCATGCCCGACCAGAAGCAGATTGTGACTGAGTGGGCGGCCGAGTTTAAGCTTGATGGCCTGTGGGGTGATGACAATCCCTCGGCTGCTGGTAATGAGGGAGGGGATGCCATGGAGCAGTGAGAGGGAGCCCCCTATCATGCATGATTGCGCGGTTTCTCTCTTTCTGTTTTTTTGGCTCTTGACATGGCAAATGGTCATTTCCTTACAACTTGGGCATCTTGATTTTTCTTTTTTTCTCCCTCATATAACGAGTTTGGCGTTGTAGGCTTTGGTTTGGCAAAAAAGAAAGAAGTAGAACGAACTTTTATGGGCCGAATGTACGCATTAGATATGTTGACACATATAAAAAATGTAGGTTGCCTTTTCAAAAGAGAGAAGCCCCTTGAGTTACAGAGTTTCATCCGTCTTCTTCAATATCACACTAAGTAGTTGTCTATATAAAAACTCACGACAAGGTCCCAAAACTGCGTTCCCATTAAAATTGATAACCACTCCCCCTACCCCCCTAAAGCCCCCTTTACGCACTCACCAGCTCCATCTTCACACCCCTCTTCCCCGTCCTCTCATCCTTATCATCGTGCACCCTAACGACCACCTTTTGGAAAAGCTCGACCCTGACGCTCCTCTCGCCCTTGGTCGTGAGCGTGTACGTCTCCGCGTCGTACTCGCTCTCCGGCTCCGGGTCGGCCAGGTCGCGCAGCCGAATCAGCCCCTCGATGCCGAACCGCGGCACCAGCACCACGAAGCCGTTGCTGAAGATCTTCATCACAAAGGCCTCCTCCTCGGCGACCTTGCCCTTGAGGGCCTGCCCGACGTAGTAGGCTATGCTCGCGCGGCCGGCCATTTGCGCGTTGCGGTGGCGCACGTTGATGTTCTTGCAGACGGCCTCCAGGCGGCCCCGGCTGCGGACGGAGGGGTGGACGGCTTCGTAGCCGATGGCGGCGGCGAGCTGTCTGTGGGCGAGGAGATCTGCGTAGCGACGGATGGGAGAGGTGAAGTGCGTGTAAATCTCAGAGGCGAGACCGTAGTGGCGGAACTCGGGATACGCCTGCGTCCCGGAGCAGAAGTACTCTGCGCTCATCATGCAGCGCGTGGCCATGATGCGCACCAGCGTGTTGAAGAAGGGCTCCTTGGGGTCAACGCACTTGTCCAGGGAGTCGGCCAGCGCCTTGCTGGAGTCGGTGCGCAGCTCCAGGCCGCGCTTGATGCGCAGCTGGTCGCTCAGCTCGTCAAAGTTGGTCTTGGGAGGGGCGGCGTGGCGACGCAGGATGGCCGTCTGGGGGAACGCCTCGTAGATCTTGGCGGCGACGCTGACGTTGGCGAACAGCATGAACTCTTCGACCAGAGAGTTGGTGTCGAGAAGTTCCTTCGTCTTGACGTCGATGGGGTCCGAGGACTCAGACTCCATGTGCACCTTGATCTCGGGAGAAGAGAGGCTCAAAGCGCCGGCGTCCATTCGCTTCTTCTTGAGCTTCTTTGAGAGCATGAGCAGCATCCGCATGCCCTTTGTGAGGTCGTCCTGCTGCGACGCGTCGTCGATGCGGAGCTGTGCTTGTTCGTAGCTGAATGCCTCGCGGGACTTGATCACCGACTTTGTGAAGCGCACGTTCACAATGTCGGCATTCTCATCAAGCTCCCAGATGACCGTGAACGCAAAGCGCTCGACGTAAGGCTTGAGAGAGCAGAGATCGGTGCCCAGCAGCATCGGAAGCATATCTATGCGCTTGTCAACCAGGTATACGGTGGTACCACGAATGCTTGCCTCCGTGTCCATTGCGTTGGCGGGCTTGACGAAGTGTGATACGTCCGCAATGTGGACGCCGACCTCGTAGTTGCCGTTTGGCAGCAGCCTGGCGTGAAGCGCATCGTCGATATCTTGACAACCTGGAGGATCAATACTGCAGATGAGAAGATCGCGAAGGTCTTCTCGGTCTCTCCAGCCAGGATCCTCTTTGCTCTCAGGCACCCTCCAGTCGTGACCCTCTTTGGGAAGGCAGTCGAGCACCGTCTTGGGGAAGGGCCGGTACTGGACATCCCATTCCAGGAGCAGCGCCTCCGTCTCCGCCGCCTTCGTCTCGAGCTCTCCCAGTGAGCGAACCAGATGCCCCACGGGATGTCTTGAGTCTCTGTCCCAAGAATCAACAGTAACCAGGAGTCTCTTGCCCAAAAGCTCGGACACTTGACGGGTACGAAGACGGATCTTGGGGATCTTCTTGTCCATCGGGATGAGGAAGACGCTGTCGAGTCTCCGGCCTTGTGACGGAGCCTTGCTGGCCGTTGACGGATCGATGTGGCCGACGTACTGCCGCCAGTTACGCTTCACCACGCCCACAACCTTGGCTGTTGGCTGTAGTTGGTTCTCTCCTGAGGCTCTTTGCGTCCTCTTCACCTCCTCCTGAAGTGCCTTGCGTTCTTTATCCGAAATGAAGTCCTGGCGCTCCTCTGTGTCCGCGTTTTCATCCTTCGTGATGGCTTCTTCTTCGATGATCTTTGTTGACGGTGACTTCCATTGATCCTGCGGCAGCAGCTCGACAACGACGACGTCGCCATCAATGGACCGGTTGATGTTCTCGCGACCCAGGATAAGCAAAGGCTTCGGGAAAGCAGGCACCTTGATCGATCCCTCGAGATAGTTGTACGGCGACACGTTGAAGATGCCCTGATGCAGCAAGCCCGCCTTGACCCCCGTCATCATCCTCGAAGAAGTGTAGTATTCCGGATACAGGGGCTGAGAAGTCGGCTTGTTCAAGCCACCCTGTGCCTGAAGCTGTGACTCGGCAATCATGTCCAGCAGCCTATCGCCGTCTTCCAGCTCGCCAACATAGTCCCTGAGCGAAGACGCGTGCAGGCCCTGCTCCCGGGCTTTCCTGAGGTTCTCCCGGTCGTCGCTCAGCATGACCACCGCCGGGACTCGCGCCGCCTTGGTCTGCGCAAGATGCTCCCCGTACCACTTGACAGCCTGTCTCACGGCGCGGTCGTTCCTGTCGTTGACTGTCTCGCCGGCTTCGCGGTTGACGTACGTCTCCAGCCGGAACTCGTTGAAAAAGACATAGAATCTCTTGTCCTCGCTCTTTGTCAGCCCGACAAGGCGGTTGTAGAGCGGCAATGAGCGGTTCTTGAGCTCCTCCAGGACAGTCTGCAAGATAATCACGTCGTAGAATGACGAGCTCTGCTCAAATAGGTCCATGGCGTTGAGCAGCGCGTTGGTATCGGGAACCAAGTAGTGACCCTGGGGGTACGACTTTGTCCCAGCCGGTCTCGCCGACAGAACAAACGGTAAGGCTACCATCAAAGTCCGTCAGTCTCACTCATTCACCTCTAGAGCTCAAAGCAAATGATAATGAGCAAAGCTTTTCTCACCTTGATTGACCGCATTCCGGGGTGCCTGGCTCAAGCAGGCCCTGCACAGGTTGGATGAGCATGGAATGTCCGTCCTCAGATAGACCTCCCGGACAATCTTCTGCACCTTTCCGCTGCGCGTCGACCGGACATAGACCTTGTTGGAGATGTTCTGGGCCAGCTGGTCTGAGCCCTGCGCTCTCTTGAGGCTCGTCATGATGGGTTTCCTTGTTTGTTCGGCGTGAAGTTCTCACACCTGCTCGGAAAAATGCTGATGTAAAATGAGATGCTAGGCGCCTTGAATCTGCAGCTTGATAGTGGGGTGCCTTATCGATACGTAGAGCAACAGCGCGCAAACCAGCCTCGAATCGAATTCCTCTATCAAGAACAATCAAGGGACACCACAGAAGCTACTATAATACATGTACTTTCGAGATTGTGCTTCACATATAGCTCTATTAGCAAAATATTCCTCTTGACTCGACAGTTTCCAGCCCGTCTGTCAGAAGCCAGTTCGAGCGAGGTTAGTATCACGTGATGTAACTCTGTACACCGAGTCACGTGACTCTCTATATGGTCACTGAGCCTCGAGAATGACACCAAGATCGCATCTGACATGAGAATTGGTCTCCAGATACAACCCCTTCGCTCGAGAAGATGCTTTCTTCCAGCCTTGAAGGGAGACTTTTTCGTCTTACGGAACATGAAGTACACCACATTCAGCCCTGTCGCTACCTGAAGATGCCGAGGACTCGAACCAAGAGCAACCTGAAATCTCAGGATGGATTCATCCCCTCCTGTGAGATCCTCCCACCTGCGACATCATACACACCCATCTAACCATCTAATAGGAGACCTTCGTCTGCCAACCATTGATCCAGGGAACGAGGGCCAAGGATCGTCGCAAATGCAACTCCAACCCCAATCAAGTCATTCGCCCACCATACGTCTATACCGCCACTTACCATGACCGACTCAACCAAGCAGAAGACGCGGGGGAAGCATCTTCCTCTCGCAACTCGGCACATGGCCTTGTTCCCGATGTTACCGGATGCTGTGTTCTTACTGACCAGCGGTCGTACCCTGTTGCAGGAGGATCCATGTAGTCCTTTCGATGACTTCGCTCCCCTGTGCCCCCCTCGGAAGCACACCCACACTCGGAAGACTGGACCGTCTTGGAATATGGGCTGTTTATTTGTATGACTCTGGATGCCCCGAGATGGGGACCTTATTCGCCGCTGTGGAAACGGGGACTCCATGCTCGTGGGACATGACATTGTCATGGCTCCAAGGCGGACGACTCATGGCTACGCTGTTGCCATGACTGCAGGTATGCACCATTTCGAGGCTCTGCAGCCGTGCGCCGGTCGTTTGCCCCGTCTCATGGCGTGTTCATGCTGATAATGGCAGCAGCGTCTGTGGTAATTTCCGTCTGGCCAATCCTACCCAGACAGATCTCCACCGCTCGCTGGGTATGGCGGGTACAGGCACTCAGCATACCTCCAGCTCTGGATGTACGACATGAGCTGGGGAGCATGACGTGCCATATCCTTGACAGAAAAGGAGTGGGCGCTGAATTATTAGGTTCGTATGTGTCCCCATCCCCTCATCTCATGGAGCAGTGCTGGGGTGCGTGCTGGTTACAACGTGTCCTTCAAGCTCGTTGTTGCTTCCGGTAATGGTTATCCTCGCAGTCGTCATCATCGTATCATGAAGGTCTGAACAAAGGTAGAATCAATGGTTACTGGCGGTAAATCCCAGGCCAGCTGAACAGCAAGCAAGAGGCCTTCGCCTCGCCTCGTACCCCCATAAGATGGGGCAAGGAGTATGTGTGTGTCTTTGACTTTGACTAGCAGAGCCAGATGACCATCTTTCTCATGCACGCTTTCATCATCCAAGACCGCAGCGCAACACCCGCCGACGTTCTCGACTGATCCATTCGGCGCGATAAAATGCTCTTCTGTGGATCTATGAGGTTTCAAAGAAACGTTGCTGGCCTATACATCGCCGTTGTAGAGGCATCAGAAGCATATCGCGACATCGGCCTGTTGTGCGCCGAGATGCAATAATCAGGGCCTGCGCTGCTGAGACCAGAAACGTGCAACCAACTCCGGTCTGGTCTCCTGGCAAACGAATATGAGCGGGCAACAGGATAGATATCGTGTTTACACGTCTGAGGGCCCAAATCATTATATTAAAGGCATGCCGGCGTCCGTGTCAAAGAGCCCTTTCTTCTTCTCCCGTCGAGAACTCCGACGTGATGATGGGCTCGCGAGTTTGGGCCTTTGAGCCCAACAGCTCGGCTTTTTCGGGCTGTTTCCCCGTTAATGCTGCGGTGGAAGCGCTGTGAGCCTGTCGACCAAAAGCTGTACGAACTTGATCGTCTTATGGTGGGGGGCAGCATATACATAATCCCACTGGTAGCACTTCCGTATTGCTCAGCATGGGCCAAGGTAGCGGAGTTTTTCTGCTCTGCTTTGCTTGAGGAGAACCGCCTCGAACTGCATGCCAGCCGACCTCACAGCCAACAGCAGGGGCTATGATGGCCACTGTTCGAGAAGGCAGAAGAACAAGAAGCTTCGTCCTGTCGCAAAGACCAACGACACACCCCCCTCTCGGGCGTTGAGAGACGAAAGCCTGCCCCAAGGACTTACATTAGGTAACCTTTGATGCCCCCAGATATGCATCCTAGCCTTGGCAATCGTCCTGTTGACCCGCCGTCACATGGCTTGACGCTGTTGGAGGTGGACTCAATCAGCGCTATTTCTTCATGTCAAGAGTCTCGTGAGAAGATAGGGTAGTATTATGAAAGATGCATTCGACGCTTGAAGCAGCAAGGATTGTTCAGGCCCGCAGCTTCACGAGCAGGTCAGAAGCCGGGCTTCAACACGATTCGCCAGCGGGGGAATGGAGCATAGCCAGGTTTCAAACCACAGACGTAATGGTAGTCACTCGTACAGACTACGGAGCATATACCGTGCAAGTCACCCCATTCTACGGTGTCTTCAACTGCCTTGGCCTTGAGGGATGCTCATCTGTTTTGGTCCCAAGTGAAGCGGCTGCAGTAATAGCATGAACAGGATCTGCAGTCGTGTGTAAATCCAAGTATTCACGATCCACAGGGGGGACGGAGCGGGGGGAGGGGCAATGGTCGGCAGCCTGGAATATCCAAAGTGGCAGCGTATTCGTGCATCGCATTGCAAGGCAGAAAGTATGCCGGTGCTTGAAAACATTCTGTTCTCCTCAAGAGGCCTGTCAACAGGATGCGAAAGCAGGATTCCACAGCTGCCACACCCCGGCTCGTCTGCCTTGCAGACTTTCGCAAATTTGAGTTCTCACATGATGCTCGATATGTCCTCTGGGGTTCAATTTTGCATGCTTTCCATAACACTTCTACTGAATGAAGGTAGTCGATAATACGGTGGCGCATCGAGAAGACGGATAACAGTTGCGGCAAGTTGCCGAGCAGGGGCTCGCCGGAGACGTCTTCTGGACATGTTGCCGTCAACAGGCATCAGCCGTCCATGCTATGGGCAGCGGCAGGGCTGGTACAACGACGAGGACGAGCTCTGCTTCGCAGACAATGCTAGCAGAGGCGGGGGCGGATAAGAATGCCAATAAGATCAAAAAGCTCCGACGCCAGACCGCTCTCTATCCCCTTCAGGGCTTCATTGAGGTAACGATCTGGAGGCACCGGCAATCGCAGATTGGGATTTGTCCTGGTGTTGTGCGTCACTTTAGATCCGTAGTGTTACCCCTGGCTTTCTGAGAAAGGAATGTTGATGGTGGCCACGAAGTACGAAAGCCCACGAGCCACCATTCACATCGGAGGGGGGGAGGTACGACACATCTCAGGCTAGTGTAGTCTTGGTGCCACAGTTGCGAGGAACAGAGGCGTGACATGTGCTCGTGAGATTCAGGCCATGATATCCTTTGGTGATTGTGGGGTGGCATATCCCGACATCCTTGGCTGCATTGCACGACCTTTTCCTTGTCCCACGACTGTGCATGCTGGGCGTAACCGCACCGGGTAAAGATTCGAGCCCGGCTACTAGTCTGTACGTCGCACGTAAATGTAAGATGCTCGCGCCTCGAAGGAGTTGGGAGGTGTTGATATGCAGCTTGGCATGACTCGATAGACTTGGATTGCTGTTGACGATATAGTGGACGGCTTATAATATCTGCGGAGAGGGATCGAGCGGGATGCCACACTTGGAGGGCGACACTACTGTATAAGCGGCGCATCGCGAAGAGACCCTGAAAGCCAGATAGGCCCCTTTGATAAGGAGTAGACTGAGCCCATTTTCGTGGGTAAGGTAGGGACCACGAGCAGTATGACGCATGAACAACCTAGCGCATGGGGCATGAAGCAAGGCATCCCTCCTCCAGCGGCAACCAAGATCGCAGTAGCATCCATCCAACAGAAAGCTACACTTCTCCCGTGGGATTGGAACCTTGATACACAGAGAAGCCAGATACTAGTACAGGCTCGTCACCGCTTTGCGCGTGCAGTCTCGTTCCGTGCGGGTCAACAGTGGGAGCGGAGTTCGTCGACGGATTTGACGCTCTGGGTACTACTTCGTACGCATTCATGTTGAAGGTGATCCCGGTATAAGTGCCCTAATACCATGGGCCAGAAACAGCGACTTTTTCTCGGACAACGGGGAGAACATGCAGACTGTCGATGGTCCCAATCCTCACTGACGTACGTACTCGTACGTCAAGCGTCAATATCCCCACAGCCAGCATACCGCAAGATACCTCCCGCGGCAGCTTTGATGCAAGAAGTGTTGCTTCGCACAATACTATGTAGTGTGAGATGGTAGTGGCCGTTGGAGCAGCGCTAGAGCCGGCGGGAAGATGCTGATGGTGGGGGCGATGGAATGGGGCCCTGATCTGTTGCAAAAGAAGCTGGCCATGTATATGCATGTAAGGACCAGTGAAAGTGCCTAGCGCTCGGCCAGACCAAAAGCCCAGCTACTGCCTCAAACTCGGTAATATGCCTTCCTGACATCACTACTTCGCACATCAGGCGTGTACGAAGTGGTTTACCCCCGTCCAAGTCGGCAGCAAGGCCAGTGTCGAACTCGTCGAAGCAGCAGCTGTACTTCGTAAGCATGTAGGAGTTGTCGTCACTGACGCTATCCGCGGATAGGTGGAGAATGCTTCGAGCGGTGGATTAGTCGATACTACGACTCGTACTATCAGCAGACGACT